AATATATTTATTTATTTGTATACACACATTTGTGGTCTGATAGCTTTTCAGCTTATCAATTCAAATATTAGTGGTTTTTCTTTTCTTCCACTAACTATTCTAAATGTGTCTTGGGCCCTCTTAGGAATCAGAAAAGGCAGTGATCCACTCCCTAAAAGGAAAGTGCAAACACAAAAAAAGTAAACCCAGCACTCTAGTAGAATCTTGGGTTCATCCATGTGCTAGATTAAGAACTCTTAGGAGCCAGAGAGATGCCTCAGTGCCTAAAAGCACTTGCTGCTCTTTCAGAGGACCTGGATTCGATTCCCCGCCCCCACATCGGTGGGTCACAATTGTCTGGAGCTGGACACCTTCTGGCCTTCAAGAGCACTTCCAAGAATGTCGAGCACATGAACCTACCCAGGTGCACACACATACACATGAAGAAAAGCAACTATTGCAAATTAAGACATATAGAAAGAACTCCGGTTGTTGGGGCGCTCCGTGGTAGAGCACACGGTAGCGTGTGTAAGGCACTGGGTTTGATCTCGGGCACTGCAAAAAAGGAAGAAAATTACGCCAGGTGCCTATGAAATTTCATAGGTGCAAAGCCTATGAAACATAGTGTCTGCATAGCAGTATCCTAGAGCACCGTCTCTCAGTTCATATGGCTACAGGACAATGCTTTTGGAAGGAAGCGCTGGGCATCCACTGGTGTATGTTTGATGTGTGGTCCTGTCTCTGTTTTCGATCATTGTGGCGAACTTTTGACGTCGGAGGTAGAGATGAAATGAGAGGCTCACGTGGTCACTCTTGTTTTCAGTTCCCTAATTGTGTCCTTGGGGTGAACCCCTGTAGATAAAATTCCTGGGTCAGAGCGGATTCACATTGCAGGCCAGGTGCCATCCACTGCCATGATTTTTTTTTTTTTTCTAGAAAAGAAAAACTGACAAGATGAAGGTGAGCTGGTTGCCGAATACCCCTGTCCTACCACGTAATCTTATTCATTTGACCCTTTCCCAACGCTGAGGAAATGTCTTCCCCTGCCTACAATTTGATTTACTTGTTTATAAGTGCATGGAGTGCTTTCTAGAAGTGCAATTGTTCGCATTCCTTCTTGCAGTCTTGTGTGTATTCCTATCATTTGCATTTTTTCCTGTTGCACTTTCATTTTATTTGTTCCAGTGCTGGGCAATGAACCCAGGGACCTGTGAATGCTAAATGAGCATCCTCTGACTGACGGCTTCCCGCCACGGTTTGTTCTTAGTAAGCTGTAAAATTATTTGTAAATTACTGATAGTAACTCTTGATTAACACACACTGAAGGTGTTTTTTTCTTGTTTCAGAATTTGATTTAGATTTTTAACGTATGCTTTCATTATATCAAAATTTAAAGTTTTTAGACAGCTGTATTTACTGGGTGTCCCGTTAGGGCCTTTCCCCTCAACTTCGTGGTTCAGAACAGTGGTTCTCAGCCTTGTAATGCTGCGACTCTTTAATACTGCCCTTCATGTTGTGGTGACCCCAGTCATAAAGTTATTTTCATTGCAACGTCATAATTTTGTTGCTGTTATGAATTGCAAGGTAAAAAAATATCTGTGCCAGGTGGTGGTGGCAAACGCCTTTAATCCCAGCACTTGGGAGGCAAAGACAGGCAGATCTCTATGAGTTGGAGGCCAGCCTGGTCTACAGAGCAAGTTTCAGGATAGCCAGGGCCCTTCCACAGAGAGACCCTGCTTCAAAAAACAAAACAACACAACATAATGGCAGCAACAAAATCTGTGTTTTCCAATGATTTTGGGCGACCCTGTGGAAGGGCTATTCAACCCATAGAGGGATTTCGACACACGGATTGAGAGCCACCTGTTTAGAGTCTGCTCCCTGAGCCAGGTGAGATAAATTTTTGTTACTTTCCCTGCGTTTTGTTCATGGTTGTCATTATCAGGACTGACCCTCAATCCTCCTGGGATTGATTGAGACAAGGTGTGATATGAGCCTCAATGTCTTGCCCCCCAAAAGGATGCCTTCCGAGTTCCATGTGTTATCTCTCCATTCTAAGTGTCCTTTCTCCTGGGGTGGGCCAGGCCCACCTCGGCGGCAGTGGAAGCAAGCAAAGGCAGTGGAGGATGTGAGATGACCCAAGCCATTCTACCACTGAGATCCTACCTAAAGCCTGAGCTCGGTCTCCCAATCCTGGAGGCTTCCCCTCAACAGAGAGGCTGTCAGCAAGAACAGGGTAGGCAAAAGTGTTGCTTTCATTTACGCTGTGAAAGCAGCCACTGCAGGAGAGGAAACACGTCTGCAGGCCCCACGAAGCCCCGGCACCTGCAGGCTCAGAAGGATCCTGGCGCTTTTCATTTCCAGTCCAGCCTTTTCTGTTTTCATTCTTTGCCCATTGTACAAATTTGCCTCCCAGATTTCTCCCCAAGCCCTAAGAGGAGCTGGTTGGTCTGCCTGTAATTACTGCTTATTTGATTTGTGGGTTTTAATATCTTTAACATGAGGAGGAGGCATTCTAAAGCAAACAGGCCCAGTGCCTGTTCAATGGAGCCTCAGCTGTAGCCTCTGCCATGTTCTTGGCTTATCTCTTCCTGTGGCTTAAGAATATAAAAGCCTGTGCTAGTGACCTTTCCATCACTATAACGAAACACCTGAGATAATCAACGTACAAAGAGGTTCATTTGGACGCATACTTTTGGAGGATTCGGTCTACGGTTACTTAGTTGTATTGCTTTTGGGACATCTGGTGAGGTGCATATCTCAGTGAGAGTACAGAGGAGAGTCGACTCGTCCATCTCATAGGCGGGCATCAAAAAGGTGTGCACAGGGCTGGGCTCTCCCTGTTCCTTTGGCAAGCATTAAAGAGCTTCCAATAGGCCCTGCCCCTTAGAGGTCTCCCAACCTCTAAACAGTGCTGGACTGGACTGAGCCGTTAGCATGGGGGCTTTGGGGGACAGCCGAGACCTCGATCATAGCGGAGCTCAGCTAGGTGCTGCCCTCATCCTGTGATACAATGGCAGTGTCAGGATGGACTCATTTTTTCAGCGGCACACCTCACTAACGTCTGCCTGTCTTCGACCTCTCCGGCCTGGAAGACTTGGAATATTTCTCACCACGGCCTACTTGCTCCAGAAGTACACGCTCCCTCCGGATGCTTTGTGCTCCTACGAGTCTGCTGAACTTCCACTCTCCTTGAATTAATAACCCTTCAGTGGAGGAGCAGAAAGCCACGTGTGCTCCAGTACATGAGAGAGTATGAATTTAGGCTTATTTTTCATATTCCCCACCATTTCCATGAGCCTTGGGGAGGAAGAAATGCAAAGACTGGGGTTCAGTGCATCGCTGGGCAGGGGAGGTCACCCTGTGTCTCTGGGAAGGGGACAGGAGTCATTTCTATGGGGGGGGAGGGGAAGTCAGTGTCTTGGCTCTGCTCAGGAGGAACCCCAGCCAGGGCCCCGACTTTAGGCAGACATCCCCACACTGGCTTTCAACTGGCTGTCACTGGTTACTCCAGGAATAGTCACACCTCCGAGAGAGATACACCGTGGGCAGAGAAGTTCCTTTGCTCTGACATGCATGGAGTGATGGGCTCCACGGCACAGGGTCCCCGATCCTATAAACTCTGGTTTGATTTGTCCGGGGATTAGCCTGTCTGAAGGCAGGAGTCTCCTCGCTTTGTCTTGTTTCAGTCCTTTAATCCAGAGACTTTCCTCACAGCACTTCATAAATCTGTGACCACGGAAATGTCTTCTCCCCACCTGCCATGGCTTCTTTAAATTTTTTAAAATGTTACACACACACACACACACACACACACACACACACACACACACACACTTGCTAATAAATAAAAATTCACACACCCAAACAATGCAGACCCAAAGTCTACACTACCTAGAGAACAGTTAGAAGGGGCTTTCGCAGTCGAAGCTGCCCATCACTTCTTTAACACATATTTTTTTTTTTCGTGGAGACTTTTCTCAGGCCAGCTTCCCAACGTGCTGGAGATGGAACCAGGTGTTTGGGAGTTTGGCAGGGGGAGCAGAGGTGTCCTGCCTTCTGTGAGAATCAGGCATGACACAGAAAGAAAGGGAACTGGCTGGCAGCAAGCAGCTGACCTTTCACATAGGGGCTGGAGAGGATTCAGTGTTCCTCAGCAGAGACATTGCAAATGTGTGCCAGTGGCTCTGATCTGATCACTAGCATCACGTGTGTGATTAAAAACGTTTCTCTGTACAAAATAGGTGTGCACAGTTGCAATCTATCAATGAAAAATGAATGGAATGTGTAGGCAGAGTGTACAGAACCCACGGGTCTGTTTGGCCTGGCTTTGAAACAGTACCGGGCTCAAAAGACCACAATCATTACTGCTGCTTTTTACTGAGACCAAACAAAAAGCTTAACACTTGTTTGCAAATTCAAACCAGAGACTCGTGCTGTTTCCAGCCTGGCTCACCCGAAGCCGGGTCCCTCTGTGGACAGGGCTGCGGGCTGTTCAAACTGTTTGTGTATGTGACTGACGTGCACACGGATAAGCTATTTTTTTTTTTCCCTATTCGATGAGTCTGGCCCTCCAGATTTCATTACCAAAGAGGCCTTGAGTTCTGGTGTGCGGCTGCTGGGCAGGGTGACTAAAGATAATTGTGTGCCGTGTATTTGGAGAAGCTAAGGGAAAACATTTGAAATGTTTTCATTAAAATAAATAAATAAATAAAACAAACGTTGATGGAGTCACGTTCAACGTGATCTGACAAGCTTGTACATATATCCAAACATTGCATGGGACGTAGCGTTCAAATTTAACATCTGAGCTAGGAAGAAAAAAATATTTTCAAGATTTAGGAAGGAGGCAGGAGCATCAGAGAATCTGATGGGCAGTCTCCTCCTCCCCCCTGGGCTTTGTCGGGTCTTTGTCCCGCCCCTGGCCGCCCTGGTACAGAACCACTTAGCTGTGATTAGAAGGAGGGGGCGAGGCGGCAGGGCGGAGCCTGCGGCGCGGGCGGGCGGGCGGCGACAGGGGCGCAGGCGGCATGCGGGCCGGAGCAGCCACCGGCCGGGCGCACCGACGCCGCCGCGGGCACGCCTGAGCGGGCAGACGGGCGGCAGGGGCCGCGGGAGCGAGCGAGGAGGCGCGGGGCCCCCGCGGAGCGCGCCATGGACGGCCCGGACAACGCCACCCTGCGCGCGGACCGCGCCACCCTGCCCCCGGACGCGTCCTCGCTGCTGCCGGGCAACCTCACCCTGGCTCCCGGCGCCCTGTCGCCTCCCTCGGGCGCCTCCAGCCCGGGCCCCGAGCTCAGCCTGTCCCCGGGGCCGGGCGTCTCCTTCAGCCCCGAGCCCACCCTGACCCCGGCGCCCGCGGGCGGCGTGGGGGGCCAGGGCTCGTCCGCCTTCCCCCGGCCCTGGGTCCCCCACGAGCCCCCTTTCTGGGACACGCCGCTCAACCACGGGCTCAACGTGTTCGTGGGCGCCGCCCTGTGCATCACCATGCTGGGCCTGGGCTGCACCGTGGACGTGAACCGCTTCGGGGCGCACGTCCGGCGGCCCGTGGGCGCGCTGCTCGCCGCGCTCTGCCAGTTCGGCTTCCTGCCGCTGCTGGCCTTCACGCTGGCCCTCGCCTTCAAGCTGGACGAGGTGGCCGCCGTGGCCGTGCTCCTGTGCGGCTGCTGTCCCGGCGGGAACCTCTCCAACCTCATGTCCCTGCTGGTGGACGGCGACATGAACCTCAGGTATTGGCCTCTTTCTCACTCCGACCCGCAGGGCTCACAGCGAGAGGGGCGCGTGGGGCCGTCTGGGATGGAGCCCTGAGGACGAACGGACGGGGGTGGGGGTGGGGATAGGGAGGCTTGGCCTCGACATACCTGGGGGACGCTGAGAGGTTGTGGGTCCGTGTCGAGGAGGACGGACCCAGACCTGGCTGCTGAGAGGCCCTGGGATTCCACGTGCGGTCCCTTCCCGGGGGGACCGGGGCATGAGCTCACGTCCCCAGTTAACTGGGAGGCAAGCAGAAGGGGGGGGGGGTCTGAAGCCAGGACTCGAAGGAAAGGAAAAAAAAAGGCAAATCAGAACTGCAGCCCCATAGAGAGAACAATCTTGGCAGCGCGCAAGTTATCTGGAAGGGTTTAGAGACAGGGTTCTCCAGCCAGTTCCCAGGCTTTAGGAAGGCCCGGGGCAGCCGGCCTGGGTCCCGAACCCTAGGTCATGGCCTTGCCTGGGATTCACGGTTCTATCGCGACAGAGATAGATTCTCTGCAGGCTTCAACCCCGAGGCTCGCAGGGCCCCTCCCCCTCCCCGCCGTGTAACAGGTAAGGGAGGGCCCCGGAGCCCTCGGTGGGTGACTTCTCCTCGTACCCTTTCTGCAGCATCATCATGACCATCTCCTCCACGCTCCTGGCCCTGGTGTTGATGCCCCTCTGCCTCTGGATCTACAGCCGGGCTTGGATCAATACCCCGCTGGTGCAGTTACTCCCCCTCGGGGCCGTCACCCTGACTCTCTGCAGCACCCTCATCCCCATCGGGCTGGGCGTCTTCATCCGCTACAAATACAACCGGGTGGCCGACTACATCGTGAAGGTAGTGTCTGTCTCTCTGTCTCTTCCGCCGGCCCCTCCCCCTAGAGTCTGGTCTTGTCTTTGAAGAGTGGCTGACATGCTAGGAGGTTTGGAAAGCCGTGAAGGAGACAAAGGCCTTTCAGGGACACGCTTAATACGTTTATACGACAAGCCTAATGTCCGCGCTGGGAAATTCCTAGGTTAACAGCTCTAATAACGGTGAAGGTTTGTAATCTCAGTACTCAGAGGCTGACCCAAGAGGGTCTGGGTTCGAAACCAGCCGGGACTACAAAGCAAGAGCCTGTCCCAACTACTACCTATCACCTCTGAAAATTAAGAATAGGGCAAGAGATCTCTTAGTCATCGCTGGGGGAGGGAGACACACGCATGGAGATACAGTGCAGTCAAATGGCAAGCGTTGCAGGGCAGGGTGCCCCGTGCCTTGCATCCGAGCACTCCGGAGGCAGAGGCAGGTGGATCTCTGTGAGGATGAGGCCAGCCTGGACTGCAGAGTGAGTTCCGAAACAGCCAGAGCTACATGGCGAAGCTCTGTCTCAAAACAAACAAACTAACATCAAGATGGCAAGCACTTCCCACTAACTGAATAGTACTAAAATTCAGAGCAGAGGCAATAACATTATTCAAAACCTTTAGAAATGCATTCGTATACTTTCAAGAGTGGGACTCAAATTCTGAGAAAACAAACCCTGAAACAGGTACCCTTAAGCATCTTCTTAATGAAAAAAGTTGAAATGAGCAAGACAGTGTGTCAGTATAATAAAATGCACAAAATATTGGTCTCAAAGCAGAAAATAAAGCTGGGTCCTGGTTAGTGTAAATTATACTGTAATTTTTAAACCTGAGTATCTTTTTTTTTCCTCCCTGTTGCATTATTTTATATGGTTTTTCAAGTTAATGAAATGATGAGGGATTACCATTACCAGAATGTATTTCTAACATTGATTTATTTTAAAGCAGATATTTTAGCAACACATAACTTTCTAATAGTTGACCAGGGAAAATTAATTTTACTTCTTTTGAAAAGTTAAAAATAGTGATAAAAAGGTGATAATATAAACAGAATGTTCATTTAACGTTAGCTGAAATACATAGCTAACTGAAGTACAGAGACAACTCTCTTTAGATTAAAAATAATAAGGAGCCATTTTAGCGGCACAATTATAGAGACTTTAGAATACAGAAACTTTTTTGCTTTCTTTGTATTAACTTATTTTCCACTTATACAAAGGAGCCAACTTTCCCTTACAAAAGAAATGTAGGGTTCTGTCCTGCACACAGATCTAGCCCTAAGTGAAAGAAGTCCTAGTCAACAAGCAATATAGGATGTAATAGCACTTACTTATACTCACACGCATCTCCTCGGATTTAGTAAGTGCAACCATTCGGCCAATGTTTCCTCAAGGCTTTGCAAACAATGAAAGTGAGCGTTCCCTCTCAGTGCCCACCCATAGTGACTTTTTTTGTATCTTTCTTTTCTTTCTTCTTTTTTTAAACATTTAAATTGCTTAAAGAGACTTTGTAGCTAGAATCCTCCTAATGAAGAATCGATTTTCTGTCAGTGTTTTCAATGTGATACACTCTGAAAACTAACAAGAGTGTTGATTTGTGACAGTTCTGTACCAGTGTTAAGTGATTTTGTATACTTTAGGAAATTATTTCAGTATCTTCTAGAGTAGAATTTTTGATCAGTCAACATCGATTTTAAATGTTATTGTTGTTGTTTTGAGACAGGATTTCTCTGTATAGCCCTGGCTGTCCTGGACTCACTTTGTAGACCAGGCTGGCCATAAACTCATAGAGCTCCACCATGCCCAGCTAATTTTAAGTATTTTTAAAGGGCATTCAGTGCACGCCAATCTCAGAGACGGCAGGGGGATCACCTCCCTGATAGGGGCTCTCAGAGGGGCAGAATTTACTCTTCAGCTTTCTTGGCTCATTAGTGTCCTCACATCCTGTGGAAAAGAGCAGCACGCCTGCCTCTCTGAAGAGGACTAGGGAATTCAGATTTCTTCCTTATATTTGTGCGTTTTCTTCTGCTTGAATGATCGAAATGTACCGGTCAAAACATCAAGAGGGCACACCTCACCCAGTTCATAACAGTGCATCTAAAACCTCCCCACTGTAAAACTGGCTAAGAATCCTTTGAAACGTACAGTTGCAGGATTTTCCTCATGAACAAACTGAAGAGCAAAGTTGCGGAATCACAGAGAATTCATCGTATCTTACACTTAAACTTTTCCTCCAATATAATGAGTTGATAATTGTTTCCATGCTGTTACCATCTTTGGGATGGTAGTTTGAAAGTTAAAATTATCTTAAACCAGCTTAGTTTTTATTGGAAACCTTAACAGCCTTTTGTCTTTTGTGTCAAAGGAGGACTGGCTTCATGTGGAAAGCACGAGGTGACCAGTGAACGGTCCGGTCTAGTCCTCAGAGCACTAGAGGGTTCTTGTGCTGTTCTAGCTGCTCCATTTCCGGGAGGCATGCCAGGAATTTAGACACACATGCAGATTAGGAAGAGCTGTCTGACCAAGGCTAAGGGGCTGAGGGACAGAGCTGTCTGACCAAGGCTAGGGGGCTGAGGGACAGTGTGCCTGGAGACAGTAGCTGTCCCCTCATGGCTGGTTTATCATTTCCAAGACCTTTTCAGAAGTTCTCCTCTTGCGCCATCCAAGGCAATTGCCAGAGGCCAGAGAAGTCACTGGGCATTAGGCGAGGCTCCCGAGCAATCCCGTCTAACACGGAGTTCCGGGCTTTGGCCACGTTGGTGGGAGGTTAGAATGGATGTATATAGCTTATTCCCTCGCCTGAAGCCCTCCTCGGTGACGTCAGGGCTGACAGTCTGCCCCTCTGTTCTCTCTCACCAGGTTTCCCTGTGGTCCCTGTTAGTGACTCTGGTGGTTCTTTTCATCATGACTGGCACCATGCTGGGCCCCGAGCTGCTGGCGAGCATCCCTGCAGCTGTTTACGTGGTCGCCATCTTTATGCCCCTGGCAGGCTACGCCTCGGGCTACGGCTTAGCCACCCTCTTCCACCTCCCGCCCAACTGCAAGCGGACGGTGTGCCTGGAAACAGGAAGTCAGAACGTGCAGCTCTGCACGGCCATCCTCAAGCTGGCCTTCCCGCCGCGCCTCATAGGAAGCATGTACATGTTCCCCCTGCTGTACGCCCTCTTCCAGTCCGCGGAAGCGGGGGCTTTCGTCTTAGTCTACAAGATGTACGGGAGCGAGATGCTGCACAAGCGAGATGCCCCGGATGAGGATGAGGACACGGATATTTCCTACAAGAAGCTGAAGGAAGAGGAGATGGCAGACACCTCCTATGGCGCCGTGGGGGCGGATGACTTGATGATGATGGAAACCACACAGACCTCGCTCTGAACCCGGAGATGCTCGGGAGCCTGTGCCTGGCCGAGAGAGCACTTCCTGCCTGCGACGTCGCGGTGGTGCGGACGGCTCACATCCAGGAGGAGCACGGATTCACGCTTCCTGTGACAGATTTGCTCTCTTCCCCCCCCCCCCCCAGATAACGTTAGTAACGTCGTAGCAGCGTTAGCCACGTGTTTTTCTAAATCACCAGTCAGTGTTCCAACAGGGCTTACACCTGGGTCGGCTGCCGCGCCGCTTCCTCCGGTTAAGCGTGCTGTCTGGAGTTTTTGTTTGTCTGTTTTTCTGTTTTTGTTTTTTGTTTTTCCCCGTTTCCACCACCATTGCTGCAGATAGAAAGCACTGTATTAGAAAAATGGGGTCGGAAATGTAGGTGTCTGGTGCATAGATGAGTAAAATTGTAAAACAAAAACGTGTTTGCTCAGCTTACAAACACCTGATGAAATCCGATTGTAGCCCGTACTGAGAAAAGTCCGAACGCGGGTCCAACACTGCAAAATATAATATTGCCTTGTCAAGCCACTAACAAGCTAGAGAAAGTCACATTAATGTATGTGACTCCTTGATCTAGCGTCTACTGTTAACGACCACCAACATTTTCCAGGAATTAAGGCTTTTTTTTTTCACCCGTTTCCTCCATTTGTGTAAATGCATCTCAGATCCAGTTATCGTCTGAGGGGATGGCATACTTCGGGACATTTGTAGACCTCATTCCAGATGAGAGGAGACGGGGACCTCTGTTCACCTCCAGGAAAAGGTTGTAGCTTCAAGCTCCTAAGGCGTGTCCCTTCCCGAAAGGTGGGTGGACAGTCCCACCTCTCTGGGCCTAGTGGGCTGTGATCTGAGACAACAAAGAGGCTCCAAGCAGGCCCCTAACCTTGCTGTTCTGCTCCCTTCATCAGACCCCCCGGCCTGGCCTTGCCTTCCTCACAGCAGACCTCTGGGGCGAGGAGGGCCCGGGGCCCACCTGGCTGTGCTTGTCCTGGTGGAGCGCTCGGCTCCCCGAGTTCACCTGCAAATCGTTACATTGTCTAGCAAGGAGGGCGGCGTTTCCGCCTCCTCCGGGAGGCTCTCCTCTCCCCGGAGCGGGGAGAGGCTGGGGAGGGTTGGGCCGCCTATTTAACGCGGCGTGGCGGAGAGCTGGGTGGCTCCGACAGCCGGCCCGGGCGAGGCGAAGGGGCGCACGCATGTTCCCAGCGAGCACGGTGCCCTCCTGCCCGCATCCTTACCCGGCCGCCGCCAAGGCCCGGCATGGCTGGCGACTGGGCGCCGGGGACTGCCGGGCCGCTCCGCCCTCCTTCCTCCCGGGCTGCCGGCAGCTCACGGCCGCCGACTACCTCGACAGCTACCGGCGGGCGCAGCTCGCGGCCCTGCTGTCGCGGGCGGGCCCCCGGGCGGTGAGCAGCCGCGACGCCGCCGTGCAGGTGAACCCGCGCCGCGACGCCTCGGTGCAGTGCTCGCTCGGGCGCCGCACGCTGCAGCACGGACGGCGCCGGCCCCGGCCCGCCCCCGACGCCCAGCCCGCTCCCCGCCGGCCGCGCAGCCCCGCCGGCGCCGCCAGGCCCGCGCGCTCCTGGCGCCCCGTCGCCGTGTACTCGCCGCTGGGCTTCCCCTCGCTGGAGGTCGCGGGGGGCGGGCAGACGCCCACGAAGGGGGGAGGGGAGCCGAGGCCGGCGCCCGCGGGGACCCCGGAGCCGGAGCCCGGAGGGGTGGAGGAGGAGGAGGAGGAGGCGGTCCCCCAGCCGCGCTCCGGAGAGCACGACGTCCTGGCCGACGCGCAGGCGGGGCCGGAGCAGCCGCCGCGGGAGGACCCGGGCAGCGAGGAGGCGGCGGCGAAGCAGCCCGGGGCCCGGCGTCCCGAGCCGCGTCCTGCCGCGGAGACGGCCCGGGACCCCGGCGAGCCGGCCGCCGACGGGGCCTCGCCGCAGAGCCCCGAGCAGGACAGGGAGCGCCTCCGCTTTCAGGTGAGGCCTGGACGGCTCCGGAACCGGGGGTGTTCTTGGGCCTAAGCCGGAGACTATGGATGGTGCAGGGCGTAGGATTCTCCAAAGCCATCAGTGGGTGTGATGTTTTTGTTTTTTTGTTTTTTTTAATGTGTATGGTTTTTTTTTTTTCTTTCCTGCGTGGATGTGTACTTCGTGGTAGTAGTGGGGAGATGGGAGCAGAAGGGCGTCGGGTCCTCTGGGACGGGCGTTCGTGAGCCCCCTCGTGGGTTTTAGGAGTTGAATTTGGGCCCCCTGGAAGAGCAGGGCGTGCTTTTGCTAGCGGAACCATCTCTCCAGCACACGGGCTTTTACAGCTGGTGCGTCTTCGTGCAGTGGCCTGACTTACTGACAGTCTCCGTTCTTGGGGAGATGCCAGTGTAATTGTTTTATCCTGATCACGTGGACACCATAAATAACCCCGTGGTGAAGGCACACGGTCCGGTCTGGGCCATACTTCGGAGGGCTGACGGAAGAGAAGGGCGCACACAGCAGAACAGCAGCTGGCGAAATGCTTCGCGGTAGAGCCGATTCCCAAGGCCCCTCTTCTCATTTTCCCTCCAGATGTGGAAAATCTGTTCTCAGTTGTCTGCCTTCTCTCGTTCTCTGTCAGACCCTTCCCTCCATTTCCGAAGCTGTCAACGGAAGCTTCTCCCTCCCCGACTTGCTCGGCTCAAAAAACAAACAAAACCCCCTCATCGATCCAGAAGGCCAGCCACCAGCACGGCTGAGCCTTTGGGTGGTCCTGAGTTGATGCCTACGCTAGCCAAACCAGGAGTTAGGGGCCCAAGGAGGGCAGCTGTAACCCCTAAGGGAATGGAGAGATCAAGATTGTGTTTGGTGTTAGGGGTTGGGGTGGAAAGTGGAGGGAAGAAGATGACACAACACTTGGGCTTTGTTCACAGCTGGGTGTGATCTGAGGCAGCAATCTTAAGCTCTCTGGCCTTTCCTGGTGCTTGCTCACCTGCCAAAATTGCATTAGGTCCTCTTTTAGGCTCCTATGTGTCCTAAAGGCTTAATGATAAAAACTTGTTCCCTATCTGTCACTAAGTGGGAAGACAGGGAAGTTTAAGATCAGGTGCCAACACTACACAGCTCATAGTGGGTGAGTTATACTTCCAAATAAGTAGCCGGGCTTTCGGACTTAACGAAGCATGGCGGAGAATTTCGCGTCGGTTTCTCCTTCTTCTAAATACTTTTCATCTGTGAATGGCCTAAGCTCATCCCACATAAAAGAGGCCTAATGAAAGAATCCTGAGCCTCAGACAGCACTGGTTTCTTGGTTTTTCCCTTGTCTGAGGGGGAAAAAAAACAAAACAAAACAAACTTGCCAGCTCACCAAATTAGTCTGGTATAGAAGTTGTTTTGTTTGGCCTCTGTCCTCATACTTTTTTGATTGAATGGTTTGCTCGCCCGACTAGAGGTTAACCCAAACCACCTCTTTCTTACCACTGTGATCTAGAATGAAATTTGGTAGTTTTGTTTGTCTCCTTCCCCCCCGCCCCCCTCCCCAGGCTTTCTCTGTGTAGCCTTGGCTATCCTGGACTCGCTTTGTAGACCAGGCTGGCCTGGAACTCACAGAGATCTGCCTGCCTCTGCCTCCCGCCGTGCTGGGTTTAAAGGCGCTCGCCACCGTGTCCGGCGGAAGTTTTGAAGTATCAACTAGTCTCTGTCCCGGGTTCTGAAAGGAGAGTAACTCGGGCATGGCTCGGCTGAAGTGCGCTTCCCTGCTGTTCAGTTCCTAGAGCAGAAGTATGGCTACTATCACTGCAAGGACTGCAACATCCGGTGGGAGAGCGCCTACGTGTGGTGCGTGCAGGGGACCAACAAGGTAAGAGGCGCGGTGCCGCCGCCCGGTCCTGCTCGGAGGCGAGCGTCTGCTGTACGCCCTGCCTTTTCTCCTCGCAGGTGTACTTCAAACAGTTCTGCCGGGAGTGTCAGAAATCCTACAACCCCTACCGCGTGGAGGACGTCACCTGCCAAGTAAATTACACGTTTGCCCCCGGGGAGAGGGTTTTTCTCTACTTCTTTGAATATATTTTCTAAAAGAGATTCCAGTTCCCAGGGGCCTCAGGCTCTGCCTCCCCGTCACCCTCCCCACAGGCGGTAGAAAGTCCCCTGCATTGTGAAATGGGGCGTTTATTCTCTTCTGCTCTTGCAAAAACCTGACACCACAGGCTCTTTTGAATCCATTCCCTCGCTTGCAGTCTAGAAGGTTGCTTACCTGCCACTCCACTTGGCATAAGGGAAACCATACTGCAAAACAGCACCTTTCTGCTAGGTTGAGGTGGTACCCCAGAAGCACATATCCGAGCCAGAGTATGAAACACAAGGACTTGAGATTTAGCCTTTTCTTACTTGAGAGTTCACAGGGGGAGTTTCCTGTAAGACCATGCAAAATTGTCCAGCCTTACGTGGTTCGCCCATGACTATGGCTGCTAAGCCTTTGCCTGCTTACTATTAATTTAGCACTGTGCCAGGTGGCTCAGATAATCTTTAAAAAGAAAGAAGTGACAACATTTACCTGTTCATGTGGATCACAGAGCTAAAGGAAGTTCCCATTTCTGTTTTTGAGAGTCCAGTCAACACACTGGTGTTGGTAATTGGGGAATTAACTAGCTTAGGGTAGGCACTGAGATGGAGGGCAAACCGTCAAGACTCCATTAAGAAAAGGGGATAACGGGCACCATTCCACAATAAGGTGCCTTAGGCCACTGCGTACCTGGCTTTCAATGCCCAGTACATGCACCGTGTGTTCTGAAGCTCCAAGAATCCAGGGGAGAGGGGCTTCATCTTTTGTACTTTTCACTCTGATCTTTCAGAGTTGTAAACAGACTAGATGTACCTGCCCAGTCAGACTTCGCCTTCGCCACGTGGACCCCAAACGCCCCCATCGTCAAGACCTGTGTGGGAGATGCAAGGACAAACGCCTGTCCTGTGATAACACCTTCAGCTTCAAATACATCATTTAGTCAGAACCCGCTCCTGCTAGATAGGGTCGGTGGAGCGGACCTGTGAGCACTCTCCAACGCCCCTCCCCTCCCCCTTTCTCAAAACACTTCACGAAAAGGCATCGTGCTTTGATAAAGCTTGTGAATAAAAGGTCTTGCAAAGAGTTTGAGGCTTTATCCCGTTTATGGCTCGGTTTGAGGAGAGCTCCTGCTGGAAGTCTGCCGTTCACGTCTGTGGACGGCAGAGTGGGCCAGGCACACTCGGGGAGGCTTCGGGCACCTGACTCGACACTTAAGGCTTCACGGACAGGAAATCAACAGCTTCAGTTTGTAGGTCTGAAGCTTCTGAGAGAGGGTGATTAAACAGGACCGACAAGATGATGCAGTGCTATCCTGCTCTTAGAATTTAAATGGGGCCTCCTAATACAAACCCTGAGGGCCTGCCGGCTGATGGCGGGGCTGGGCGTACAGCCGCAGGTGCCTCTAATGAAACAGGTGGTGGTGGTTGGCCTAACACAAAGATCATAGTTGGAACCAGGTGAAAACTGCGTTCTTCCAATTTCCCAAACATTTGTTACAGTAGCGCCCAACCTACTCCCCCCAGAACCCGGATGCCAGCCCAGCGAGCATTCCGCAATGAGGTGGGCAGTCCAGAGCGGGCATGAGGACTCTCTAGTGTCCTTGTGTGTTGGGGGACAGGTTCACCTGGGCCCAGAAGAGTCAAGCGGATGCATGTACAGGGCGCCATCACCCTGACTCTCATGGCGGAGGGAGGGGCCGTGTTTAACAGCATCCCAGTGCACAGCAAATACTCCCGGTGATTCTGAGGGGCTGTCGGTTCTATGAAAACAGGACCCAGGACTGAATAATGCAGAAGCTCTCCTTAGTGGAGAGAGCCTCAATGGAGAATTGGCCCACTTAGATCAACTGAGCTGAACTTTTGAGTCAGTTGAGTTTGATTAAAGTATTTTATGTTGGGACATGTGCAAAGATCCTGTGGCAGAGGGAACCAGAGAAGCCAAATACTGAGTAGATAATGGCAGGTAAAACTAGCAAGATTAGGCGGGGGAGCTTTTCAGGCCCTGCCTGGGACTGGCCATTATGCAGTTTTCCGAGAGAAGGCACTAAAAAGGGTTTTATCCATTTTTATTTTATGCATATATGTGTTCTGTCTGCATGTTCTGTGTGATGCATGCTCGAGGAAGCAATCCAGAGGGCGCTGGATCTCCTGGGATGGGAGTTGGAGTTTAGAGCCACTATGTGGGGGCTGGGAACTGAACGGCAGGCCCTCTTACAAGGGCAGCCAGTGCTCTTAACCACTGAGCCATCTCTCAAGTCTCCACCAAAACTTTTTTTTTTTTGAGACTTGGCTGTCCTGGACTCGCTTTGTAAACCAGGCGGGTTTTGAACTCACGGCAATCCACCTGCCTCTGCCTCCCGAGTGTTGGGATTACAGGCGTGAGCCACCATGCCCGGTCACAACATTTTAAACGTGTGTTGTGGGTAGTGGGCTAATGAGGGCAGATTGCAGGTGCCCAAGGTGTTTTCATTGGAAAGGTAGATGGGTAAGGGGGTTTGAGGACTAAGATGGAGAGAAGCGAACCTTAAGAACTGTGTGGTTAAAAGCAGTTTCAGGGGGCCGGAGAGACGGCTCTGTGGTTAAGAGCACTGTCTGCTCTTTCAGAGTTCAACTCCTGGCAAACACATGGTGGCTCACAACCATCTATGATGTGATCTGATGCTCTCTTCTGGCCTACAGGTGTACATGCAGATAAAGCTCTCATACAGAAAACAAACTTTAGAACAGGTATGGTGGCGCACTCCTGTGATCCCAGCACTCAGGGAGGCAGAAGCAGGTGGGGCTCTCCGAGTTCGAGGCCAGTCTATGAAGCGAAGCCAGGAGAGCCAAGGCTACAGTTCCACTTGTTCTCTTGGGGCTGTCTCACTGAGTTGGGGCTAGGTCCAGGTAACGATAATCCAGTTGACCCCTGTGCTTTTGGTGGGACAAGATGCACTTAGTAAGTACTTGCCAAGGAGATGGACTAACATCTACCTGCAAAGAGTCCAAGACAAACATACTGGCTGCTAAGGTGGGCAGTGAAATCAATCTTTAAATTTAATAGTGCCATTGATTTTTCTCAGGGCAGCTAATACTATTTGGCAAGGATCAGAATGTGGGCACTGAATTTGGCTATTGAACAAAGCGACACAAAGCTGGCATTCCAGCACTGAGGCCTGCCACACTGTTTATGGGTGCAATCTGAAGCCCAGAGGGCGTCAGACCCTGAGACTGACCGGCTAGCAGGAGACACTCCGATTGCCGCTTCTGCATGTTGTTAAAGAATTATGTAATTTTTGCACTTTTCAAACTGTGGACCACTTTGGAAACTGGGGATGAGGAGAGATGGGGATGGGCCAGAGGAAGCCACACAGAAACTCTCAAGTCGATCCCTGAAGTGCAGCTGATGTGCTCTGGCAGTGCTATTTCCTAAAAGGTCCCTTAGCAATGCTAAGGCCGAGGCAGGCGGTAGTGAACAGCCCTTCCTCAGAGTCACTAAACCTGGATACAGCTCCGAACCCTGCAACTGTATTCTGGCTTCCTAAGGAGTAGCACCAGGAAACTGCCCAACCTCTCAGTTCCTAACTAAAAATGACGAATTCAGCAAAAAGGCTTGTATGTAGCAAACACTAGGTTCGTGTGGAAAGAAGCCGATTAAAATTAAGCACTAGTGATTCTGTCACCATATGCAACCCCTGGAGTCAGAAGATGGGCGAGTCAGTGTACCTGTGATAGGGAGAAAAGTTCTAATGGTTCTGTGTTTGTTTTTTGTAAATGTATTCATTTTTTTCACATCAATACCAAATTACATATAAATTGCTTACAAAGTCTGGGTAGTCAATCTACTTTTCTTCTGCCTTTTTAAAGTAAAATTATACGTGAGAACTATACAGGTAACGATGTCATCTATAGTTAACTTTATTTTGTTCTTAAAGCACCACACAAACCAACAGCTACAATGCTTTTTTATTTTTAACAAAAAGGATGTGAGGAGGGTGAGAAAAACGGGAGAGAAGGGATGTGAAGTGTGGTGTGTCTTTGGACACCATCCCTGTGCCTGCCCCCCAGCCCAAAAGTTAATAATTTAAAGGACACCATTTACAGTACCAGAACACCAATAAAATAATTGTTTTTTTTTTTTATCTGGGTCAAAAAATACAGTGATTATGAACGTGCTGTGACCAGTTATGGAATCTTACAGGAAACATAACTACGGCCAGCAGTCCGTCGGCATGCCCAGTGCCTTTGACGAACACACTTGAGCATAATTACATTTCTGTCAGGGTCCACGGCCCCCGGGAAAAGGCAAAGCTGAGCAATTCATTTCTACATTCCAAACTTTGGAGCCACAGAGCCCAGTTTGAAAAATAAAAGTCACAGTGGAAAAGAGATGCATATAAAAAATACAAGGTGTTCCTTTCAAATCAGAGGAGTTGTGGGACTACATTCATTTCCTTTACAAAATGCTATTAAAAAAAAAAAAAAAGACAGAGGATCCAGTTTGTGTTAGGCTACAGACTCAGACAGTGGAGAAGTATATTGCGTGTTTTGGGAGTCAGTCTTCAGGCTTCCTGTCTTTTCCCCCATAGCCCCAAGGTTCTTTCAAGCCTGAAACACGTTGAGTCCTGCATAAACACACAGGTCGTTTGCACCTCTTCTCTTGACGCCTGCAGCCCACAGGGCCAGCAGAACACACAGTCCACCATCAGTGACCACAACTTTTAGCTTTGTGCACGTGCTCTGGTGTAACAGTGCATGGCACGAGGGAACAAGAAAATACAGGTTTTAGTCTATGCAACGTCTATAGTCGTCACGGAGTAAAATAAGTTAACTTGTTTAATAAGAAGCGCTGACGGGCAGCGGACATCTTTTAGTTTACACTTTAAAAGTCTCTGCAGGCATCTACTTTGGTTAGTTATCAACAATATCAACATAAGCACTGATCCGAGAGCTGAGCAGCAGAGTCCAATAACGTTAACAGATATATTATTATTTTTTTTTTTTGAGACACTGGGAAAACCCCAGTCTTAAAATATTATTAAAGTGTTCTAACATTTACACACTATGAAGAGTTAGATCTAATAAAATAAAATTTCTTCAAAAATAATCTTGCAGTGCTCTTTTAGGCATGCTCTGAGAAGCTGTTACCGGACACCCACACCTTGAAAATAGGACTGTCACACACTCACACACCCCAACTCACACTCACACACACACACAATTCCTTATACAGACCAAAAAACCCCAAACACCCCATATACCCTTAGCCCATAAGTTGGGGGAAAAAAAAACACCGAAAAACCCCAAAACTCCAGACCCAATGGTTTTTGCAAATTAGTCTTTGTTATGGGTCTGAATGGGTGGTCATGTTGATGATTAAGCGTCAACTATACGTTATGTTGGTGATGGCTAGAAATCCAAGCGGCTCTGCAGGCACAGGTCTTCAGCTAAAATGAATTGGCCCCAACCCCAGCCTCATTTCCCCTGCCCTGCAATGTCTTGGAGGCCATTTATTGCAAACATCCTTGGAACTGTTTTCTTCCTCCAGGGTTGTGCACTTGTATGCATCGCTTTTAGCCCTTTTTCTTTTTCACATAAGTTAATTAAAAACAATTTTTTTTTTCTTCATCATGTATGCACTGTAGAGGTCTAGGCAGCAGTCAAGCAGTTAGGTATTTTTCTTTGTTTTTGTTTTTAACAGTTTGAAATTAGTAGACTACAGTTGAAGGTGCTGCCCCAAAGTTCTCAGTGACTCACAAGGGTTCATAAAAGGTGCTTGGCTGATAATCCTTGATCATCTTCAGCTTACGCCCTCTCGAGTATTGGAAGTTACTCAGAATCCAGTGCTCGCCATGTTTCCAGCTGTTTTGGCCTGTGCTAGGAGCGGATACGATTGCACCATGCGAAGAGACTCTCTGATCTCCAGGTTGAGTTCCATCAGTTTGTAGTTGGCTTCCGACGTGTCCAGGTTTGCGCCGATGACCGCGAAGCTGCCCGTCTGGCCCAGCGTCTGGTGGTGAAAATAGATGTGTAACAGCGTCTGCACGGGGTCGTCCTCACAGCTGCCAAAGATGTCACTGGGCCAGAGCGCTCTGGAAAGACATGCCGTTAAAGTTCTGAGATGTGTGTCATCACAGCATAGCCCACATCTGAGGTGAGGACCTATGGACCATGCTGCCCGGCCAGACTCTGGTACCTGTTTTTTATTTGAGTAACTGTACTACGGTGTCTCGTTGTCTCTGCCCAGCTTACCTGAAAGCCTTGACTTGGGCTACAGCCGATACAAATTCCTTGTTCTTCAGGCTTTCGATCAGGGAATGGATGGCAGTTTCTATTGTGGTCTGTGCAGCTTTGGAAATGTCCATTTCTTCGTTTTCCGAAGCGGCCTCAGCTTCCTTGAGAATCCCTTCCAGCTGGGAGAGTTCTTCTGACATGTTGATGACCTAAAGCAAATGCATCATTAAGGACCTGTTCCTACAGTCAGCCACAAGAGGGGAGCTTAATCAGCTGATGGTGGCAATGTTCTTCTCAGCAGGAAAGTAATTAGCCACCAAGTAAAAGACTTAAAAACAAAGAGGCCAAAGTCTCTTACCATGAAGCCTAGGCTACTCTGAACTAGAGACCCTCCTGCTTCAGCCTCCTGAGTACTGGGTATTACAGAACACATGTGTATATATACATATAAATGTTTATACTATATTTTGGAAGACTATAATTGCTTTTGGACAGTGAAGGAAAGTGTATTTTAAAAGGTTATTTACCCAGGATACTTTATAGAACTATCATACACACATGGTATCTATGTCTGTATAAAATTGTAAAAATTCAATTTATTTCCCTAATGAAAATTTCAGTACCAGCATGTAAGAAGGGGGAAAAACGATTAAAGCAGGTAACTGTGAACCTGTGTGTTAACCTCTGCGTTAATGCCGTGTGCATTCACGGAACTACAGAAACAGATGAGATGTAGGGGCTCCACAGTGCAACTTTATGCACGCTTTACTTTCCGTTACAGGTCTGTTTCTGCTACTCAACCTCAGGCTTGACCTCTGGAAATCGGCTCTCATTTACCACGATGGTCTGACGTATCACGAGTTTGGAAAAGAGCTCACTGATCAGCCGGGAAAAACCTCAATGGAAGTGGCTTCGGACGTGGCATTCTAGCAAGGAGTGTATACACATAAGCACATTATCCGCATGCTGGTGCCTATATAGACTCACAGCTCCAGGGCCATCCCCGGTGCCTGCTGGGATTTACCTCGGCTTCGTTTTTGATGGTGTTTACTTGGTTGATGAGTTTGCAGTAGGCCTGGAACAGAAGCAGCAGCTGAAAGTGTAGTCTGTACAATCGCCGGCAGAGCTCCAGCTCCTGGAAATGAGCAGCGTTAACTGAGGTTAACCCAGCGTGGGATCCGACCGGATGGCGTACTTCGGTAAGACATCACACATCTGTTAAGATCGCCCGAGTTTGCACTTCTGCGGCAAGCGAGTTAATACGGTGTGAAGCTGATGAGAGGTGGGGGAAAGGAGCTTTGGGGGCTGGCAGTCAAATAACAAGGCTCGCTGCTGGTTACGGAATTCCTTTTTAGTAGGAAGCACATTTTCACATCGGACAGACACTGTCAGAAGGCGATATGTGAAATGCTCTCGAGGGGAGGACTCAAACACAAATGCAAAACTTTAGGTGGACGACGGGGAAGAAATTTGCGAGTGTGCAGGCTTCAAGCCCACTGAGGCTCTCCAAGCGCCCGTCAACAGGCGCCGAGCAAAACTGGGTATCCTCTTACCACAATGAAGGGGCTCTGAAAGGAATGGACTCTTCTTAAGACAACCACTCGGTGACCTCATTCAATGAGACTATGAAGCTGGCATGTGCAATTTAAAGTTTGAGATGTAAAGGGAGGCAAGTCAGATACAGGGGTAGAAAGGAACGCAACCCCTAGGTGCGTGTACGGATTCGTCATAAAGTCCCACTTTCGCCATTTTACAGGACCGACGTGTCATGGATTAGGACAATGCAAAACTGAAGCACACACTACTTTCAAAGTGGTCAATGGCAAAATGTTGCTAGGGCACAAGGGGACAAATGGCAGATGGAAACCAGTTTGTCTCGCAAGGATAAGGAATCTATAAAGACAGGCCACTTACTGCTAGAATTCCCATTTGCTAAGCAAGGTGATCGGGTCACAAACAAATACAAAGAGAGAGAGATCAAGAATTAGTACAAGAAACCACCGTAACTGAGGTTACAGATGCCCCACACAAACTCCAGAACACATTTATACCCCGAAGAAAGTTTTATAAAGTCATTTTCAAACAGCCCCTTTCCAAGCGTTTACTGCAGGAACCCAGGGCAGGCTCTGCGTGTTTTCCTTTGGCAGAGAAGATTAATTTGAGCTGTAGTTTGTCTTAAGGCCACAAAGAACAAAACCGAGCAGAGGGATCTGGGGCCCCTAGCCATTGTAAGTGTACTGTGGTCTAAGTTTTTCTTTTGTCCCCAAACCCCACCTGTAATAACATTTCCATGAGTACAGTGGGAACCTTATTAAGTGAATTTACCATTATTATATTTTTACCAAAGGATTGGCTGAATCTTACACAGGCAAAGCTTGCCCTACCCAGCAGCGGGCTCTTTGGCGAGGCTCATTCTAGACTTTCCTGTGTCTACTTAGCTCTTGGGCTATCTCACTCATGCTGTGGGCCCACAGGACAGAACACCAGGACTGGTACGTATCATGCTATACTTCAAATGCCATTTAGGTCAGAAATTTGACCTAAGTGAAGTCAAGTATGTGAAATACACAGTGAACGGCTTTGGAAGCTTGAGAAGAGTCACTTTGAATGAAAACAGATGGTTGGTATGTAAATGGCGCGCCTAGGACTACCTGCTTTTCTGAACTGTTTCCTCGGGAGGGCTATTTTTAACCACATTTATTCCGGTCGGCTTAGAAAGGATTTGCTAAGCAAAGGTGAACGTTAGCTCCACACAGCTGACCATAAATTATGCAAACAGTGGCCTAGTGACATTAGCAGAGTGCAATTCAAACGTCAAACAGTAGCAGGAGGTTTTACTTCATATAGTTGATTTCAGGTGGGAGTTCGGGTTTTAAATCCCTTTCCTTATTCCTGTTATTCCTGTTAGCACGGTAAGTGGAACTGATTCTACACATACATGCCGATAGTTTGGTTCTGACATGCGCTGATAAAGCTTATGGCCACTAGAGTTACAGGCAAAGGCACAAACTCTGCAGCTGTGAATTATCAAAATCGGTCTTGATGCACTGAAAGCAGACTCTGAAGGTGACACATACACACATTTTAAGTACACTGATGTTTACATGGTAGATTGTGTCTTCATTAACTCAGTATCTGCTGACTGCGTGTATAGACTGCCACACAGCACAAAGGGGAGATACAAATCACTCTCCCGTGTACTGTCTCCGTTTTTCACTCAGAAAAATCTCAAACTGTTAATTGGGTCAGAAGTCTTGCAGATCATGGGATTGTTTTGGAGGTTAGCAGGAAAATAAGAACCTTGTTTGTACGGATGCCCGTGGTATCATCAGAGGCACCCACTGGCTTCGATTCTAGAGTTAACGTCTACCTCCGCTCATGCTTTACTCATGCTTTCAAGTTTCCTCTAAAATAGTACAGAGCTTGGAATTACCTGACCAGGTGTAAATCTTGGTTTCTGCTATACTGTCCCCTCTGCACCCCGGTTCCCCCATCTTCACAGTGGGAATAATTAAGGGACCATTTAATCAAGTTGCAAGGAGAGAATATGATTATGAAAAAAATGTGTTGGCATCATGCCTAAAAAGCTTAGCAGTTAAATTATGGTTTTTATCAAGATTTCATTCTTCTCCACATTTCAGACTTTTATTATAATGTAAGTTTTGTGGACATGTACTGTTATAAATGTAGCTGAGGTGGGAATTCAAATGTCAGGCGAGGAGATGGCGGAGCTGCTGAAGGCGTTCTCCTTGTATGAGGGTGCTCCCACTGCAATAACGCATGGGTCTTAACGTGTCAGTCCTGGAGGATTATGGATGTAATCCATCCTGTGGATGCACCTTTCTCTAAGAAAACGCAATGCTATTACTAAAAGCGACTAGAGGAGAACACAAGAGACCCACACTTCCACATTTAGAGTAACACGGATATGGTTCATCTGCTCTGGGGTTTGCTTTTCTCACCAGCCAATAAATCCACAGAATACTAATGCACAACCATTTCTTTTTCTCCTGAGAGGCAGATGTGACTAAACGCCAACTTGGACCGTCTAGATACCCATCAAGCTTATCTTCTAAATGTTATTAAGCTTCAGTGGTGGGCTGGCTGCTCATTTTTATTAAAGGGAAGTTTTCATTACTAAGCCAATATTTCACTGAACCTAACTTTCCGAAAGATCGTTCTGATAACCGAAATGAAAAAGGCTTAGCTTCTCACGGCATTCTTTCTAGGGATGTCAAGCAGAGACAGTAGCATGCCTACACCGTTTTATACTATTGGATGTCGGCACGCAGCAGGAAGTAGAAGAAGACTTACTTGCGCATTGGTGTTTATCCTGTACATATCTTCGTTGGCACCGAATGTCCTCTTACAATTGTCTAGCCACTACAGAAACAAGTAAGGGTAAATGTGAGTACTTGCTTTGCAATGGACGGAACCAGGGCCATCACAAGTTTGTAGCCATAAGACCAGAAACTGACTTGAAAGGCCAGGACGGCTGTAGACACAATTTCATCCCCCCTAAAGGCCGATCATTTTATACGGAGCAAATGAACACGGGATCAGGGCAACACGATGCATACGCCGTGAGTTTATTAACAAGGATGTAATCAGTGCTCTTGGACCCGTGCTGTCCCACATCGGAAGATCCTCCGCGCTGTGGATTTTATTGGAAGTCTTCACTGTCTCTCCCTGACCTTTGTATCTAAGTGTGAGATGCGGAAGATGAAAAAGATTCACTTTCCCTTTGGTCAAGTTAATAAAGGCAACTTACAGAAAAATGAGCCAGGGCTGTTTGCTCATCCAAAGTTTAGTTTTCTGAAGACGCATGACAATTTTAATCAGTGAAACAGAAACCACGATCCATCTAAATCCTGTTTTTATTTATTTTCTTTCTTTGGGGATGGCAATAAATGATAAGCGTGCTCTCTCTGAGACATTTTGGATGTGGGCTGTCCTTACCCAGGGGTTAAGTCGATACTAATTTAAAATAAAGTAGCATTGTGGATCTGTAGAAAAAAATGGAGTCACAGGATTTCCAAAGTGAGAGCTAAGGGCTTTGGATGAAGCCCCTGAGCACTGGCAGTTCGACGCTGCAACTTCTTCTGGCTAACTGGTTTGTGTGTGTTTGTAAAATTAAGCCATCAAATTAACCACTCTGAAAAACAAAAACAAACAGAAAGCCGACCCACCATCTACATGAGTAACTCTGGAAAATATTTTAGTGACAGATACTTAAAATTCTCAATTGTAGCTTAGTGTTCTACACGTAAAGAATTAAAATTAGAAATGATAATTATTTCAAAAACAACCTCTTTGACCTTCTGTCTCTATTATCACAGCTGCCCAGACAACACTGGCCCTTGGGTTATTTTCTTGACAGCATCTTGGAAGGAAAACATGTAAGAGCTGTCTGGGGGCAGCCACTGTCAGAAGCGGAATTTATGCTTCAAGCTCTATTCACACATGTTAAAATGCGTACACACTTAACTACTTGCCTAGTCTGTCCAAATAAACTAGTAAAATGGAAAAGGCGTTGTATTATTTACTGCCTATTCTAAACATCTGAAGTATTGCATACTCCGTTTAGCATTTTAGGGAACACCAGTGTAATGATGTCTGATTTTATCCACAGTAGACTGTCCCTGGCTGCATATAAGCCTCCTAACAGCATGTGGCGATGCGGCAGGAGGCTGTGCAGCGAATCCTTCCTTCCTACCTAGTTACTCACTCTTTGTTGTTGTTGTTTGCTTAAATGAAGGTGAAAAGTTTAGCTGCAGAGAGAGGCTCTGTTTCTGGGTATGACAGAGCAGCTTATGGACAAGCAATTAATTGTCCAAGCCAATGACAAGCACTGAACTATCAGCCGGGACTTCAGTAAATCCTGGAGTGAGTCCTGAATCTGTCCCTTGCTGGAGAGGGTGGACAGACATGGTAGCTCCAGGTTCATGCCTTAAGGTTTCTGTGAGCTGTGACCTGCAGCTGGTGAGATGCTGAAGAGGAAAGGGAAGCGCCACAGTGCGAGTCACTGTCTGGGTAGCTCCCTCGTGGGGCCCTTGATGTGGGGAGACACATGTCCAGGTCCCTCCAAGCCTGTGAGGTCCTAGTTACCACCTCAGGCTGTCACACTTACTCCTTAGAGGATGGACCCACTGAATGTGAACAAAAATACTAGTTAGGACCTGATATCACTCGTGGAGCCCTTACCCTGGCATGTGTAAAGTTCTATAAAAACAGAACTGAAAGCTAATAGAGAAACTGCATAAAAATACTCACTGATAGAAAAGGAGAATGAAAACAGTGAGATATGAAGACCATGTGGGTAAGGAAGGGACAGATGGATCCCGAGGAGCCAATTCCTTTTTCTCTCTCAGAAAAATGCACTAAGAACAGTGTTCCCCTCTGAATGCAGTAACATCTTTGTTATAAATTATACTATCACAATGGGCCTGTTTTTTCAACTCAATTTTTCATAGGTATTTCTTTAAATGCGGTTATATTTAATAGTAACCAGTGAAAAAGTTTCATCTAAAAGCCTAAAGTTTGTCTGGGAGCGCATCCCCCCACCCTTGTTTTTCTGCGTTTGTCAGTTCAAAACACGCTGGGCTGACTTAGGGAGCTGGGCCAGTGTGTAAATGGCTGATGAGAACTGCGGATCCATTTCCTAGCAGCAAACGACCGTAATCTGCCCCAGGCCTATTGCCGCCTCCTCCCAGCGCCATAGTGAAGCACGAGTTTTATTGTGGCAGACCCTCTGCACCACTGCTCTGTCACTCGCACCTCCCAACACTGTGTCTTGCCCCTCTTGCCATGCTGACCTCAGCTGCAGTCCCCCAGTGTGCTCTAGGCTCAATGACAGGAAGTCTCTGAATAGAAAAGAGCTATCTTGGCGCGAGCACACACACACACACACACACACACAGACACACACTAAGGCCATTGGGAGAGCTGCTTGTCTGGGGTCGACGCTTGTAGCATCACAAAACAAATGATTTCCGGGCGTGGTTGGAGACTGACCTGCTCGGCCGCTTCCTTCTTGGTGGTGTAAGTGTCCAGGTGTTCCTGCAGCTCCAAGATGCCGAACTTGAGTGTCTCCAGCAAACCGCACGCCATCAGCTGTGGAGGCAGACACAGCCTTGAAGGGTTACGAGTACACGCCACCCTCTGCATCCGGCCAGGCCAGTGTGCACCGCCCTGAAGCCTCTAGACATGCAGTTGTCCAGCCTGTGAGTGCTCGCTGCAAGTCAGGGAGGATCAAGGGGCTCTGGATATTTTGTGACGAGAGGTGTAGCCACCTCCTACCAAATTTTGTTCAAGAACAGGAAAAGAACATACATCTTTAGATTATGACACTTCAGCTTCCTCATCCTGGATTCTATATGTATAGGGCGAGGGCAGAATCAGCCAAGTTGCATACAGCATTTCACATACTGGAATGGATTTATATATGTCTGTCCGTCCATCCGTCCGTCCATCCATCCATCCATCCATCCATCCATCCATCCATCCATCCATCCATCTCTGAGACAGATTCTTATTATGTAGTTCTGGCTGTCCTAGAGCTTGCTGTGTATATTATACTGGCCTTGAGCTCAGACATCTGCCTGCCTCTGCCTCCTCAAAGTTGAGATTAAAGGTATGTTCTACCATGCCTGGCTGGGATGACATTTGCTACATAGTTAGCTCAGGGTTAAGGTACTAACTCTCATAATTCAAAATGGAGAACTGCTTTTACAAAAGGCCAATAAACCAACATGGTCATTCCAGTGTAGCCATCTTAATTTGTTTTGTGTTTTGAAACAGGCTTTTGCTTTACAGAAGTGGATGGCTTGAACTCATCAGCCACCCTGGGCTGGCCTCAAACTCTCCCCCCGCAGCCTCCCAAGTACTGGGATTCCCACGTGTGCACCACCACGCCCAGCTTACCGTTTCAGCATCCACAAAGACGGTGGGGCATTCAGAACACGTCATCATTACTTCCAACGAGCTTTTAAATTTGGTACCAATGCGCTGCAGACCGTCCCCCAGAAAGCCCACTGCCTCATTGGTTATCTCTCCAAACTTCCTTTGAATTGTCTACAAGGAAAAGCAGGACAAAAGTTTTGTAGCTCATACACACAGAAGGCCTTCCTCCACTTTTATGTGAAGAAGTGTTACAACTTAAATTACTATAATGACGCACAGAACTCTATTAGGTCTCTATGTATTTCTTTTGGAGCTACATCAACATACAGCTGATGTGGTTGGATGCAACCGCACACACCTATGTTCCCAGCTACTTGGGAGGGTTAGGTAGGAAAACTGCTTGAGTCCAGGAGCTCTGGCCTGTAGTGAGCTATGACCATCAGCGTGAATAGCAACCTCCCAGGAGCAGGAGGCCCCCAGGTTGCCTGAGGAGAGGTGGGCCAGCGGGGTGTAGGAAATGTGTATCTGTATACATGTGTACGGTGCTGCTAAAGGACATTAAGACGGAAGGGAGGAAAAAAGCATTGGGAAACTGCTGCTTATCACTGGTAAACAAGGAATACAAATAGAAAGCCAAGAGATGTGCAGAAGATTAAGTCCAAACTCCTACCACTGAGCACTGAAGACTGCCCAGGGAGGAAACTGGAGGCTGGCGCGCATGGGCAGGAGAGATGGCGGATAGTTAATAGGAGTGGCATAGGCTCCTGCGCCTTAGGCTTTCTCCTTCCCCACACAGTGCTCAAAATGATGCTGTCATGATGCTGGATGAGACTGTTTATTGAGAAGTGTCTAGCTGAGTGCCACAGGGTAGGCACTCACATATTAGTACTATGACCTCAGGGCGGAAAGCAGCCTTAGTTGCTGGGTTCCCCCAGCGACGGGGGTGACGGACATCGTTGCACCTCCCTGTAACAGCTGAAGGAGGGCAGCTACAGCACCGTGCCTTTGCTTCTCCGGTACCCAGCACACTACAGAAAACGGCTCAGACCTTGTGCTGGAGTAGTGTAGCCGTTTCACTTCGGGTTTTCACGTCTGTACTGGCAGGCAACTGACTTACCAGGAGTACTGTGTGTGGCATTACAAATTAAGGAAGCGTCCCAGTCCTAGGAACACGTCTGTCAGAGAAAGTCAGTAGGATATTAAGCCTGAGATGGAGAGTAAGGAAGCCTAGCTTTGCCAGATTACCGGGAGTTGAGAAGCCGTGACCTCCAC